GAGCTCGTGCACCCGGACGCGCGCAACCGCTTCGGCAAGACGGCGCTGCAGGTGAGCGGCCCGCGGACCCCGGCCCTCGGCCTGGGGTCATTCCCGGCGGAGGTCCGCGTCCCCGCGCCCCTGGGTACGGTCTCTAAGGCGACGGCGAGAGCGAGGGCTGGCGTTTCTGGGTCCCCCTTCCGCGGGGAGCGCTCCCGGGCGGTTCTGATCTCTCGGGCGGTTCCGTGTCTACTCGGGACACCCCGGTTTCTGGGGCAACGAGCTCCTGGGGAGAAGTCTCACTCCTGCGGGAGCCTGCTGTGCTCTAGGCACCCGGGGGAGCACAGGGGTCCTGCTGTGTGAGCGCTGCTCCCCGCGGGGCGCGTTTCACCGGGAAGCGGTGGTCAGGGAGCCTGAGCAGCGCCTCCGTAAGCGCAGGAAGGAGTGCTTCCGAGGGGAGAGGGCTCCTCTGACCCCACAGACGACCGCCAGGTTCTCTGGGGGCAGCTCTCAGTCTGAGGGTGCCCAGATTTCCTGATGGTTCCGCATGTCTGGGGCGGAGGGAGGCTTCCGTTCCCTGAAACATTTCCGAGGGGTTATTCCCCGGGTGAGGGTCCCGGCGCAGTCACCAGCTGTCTGGAGGTCTCTAGGTCCCAAACTTGTTTCCTCCGATCTGCAGCGGCTCCGCAGGGGCTCGCGTTCCCTGGTGTCCCCAAAGGCGACCGTGCTCTGGCGGTGCCCGTTCCCAGTAGACCCCTACTTTTGGAGCCCCTTTTCCCGCCCCTCCGCGTGGGCCTCGCTGACCCTCTGCGCCTGCGCAGGTGATGATGTTCGGCAGCCTCGCCGTGGCCCGGGAGCTTCTGAAACACGGCGCCAGCCCCAACGTCCAGGACGCCTCCGGCACCAGCCCGCTCCACGACGCGGCCCGCACTGGATTCCTGGACACGCTGAAGGTCCTCGTGGAGCACGGCGCCGATGTCAACGCGCCCGACGCCACCGGGGCGCTGCCCATCCACCTGGCCGTGCGCGAGGGCCACGCTGCGGTGGTCAGCTTCCTGGCCGCCGAGTCCGACCTCCAGCACAGAGATGTCACGGGGCTCACACCCCTGGAGCTCGCCCGGCACCGGGGGGCTCAGGACCTCGTGGACATCCTGCTGGGGCACACGGTGATCCCGCTGTGACCCGGGGGCGCCTGCTGCAGCCGGAGAACCCCGTGGGTTTATCTGTCGGGAGAGGAGGGCAGAAACACTTCTCTCCTTGCCGCTCCTGCCCACTGAAGAAGGGGAGGAGGGCCAGTTTGTGGCTTCTTGGTGTTGATTTCTGGGGTGTGTGTGTTTCGGGGACGTTTCTCATTTGTTCCCCACCCTTTTGGTGTGTTGGACGGAGAAGGACTCCTATAGGCCACAGCCAACTAAACGGTTCAGCTCCTTCCACATCCCGGGCCCCTGGGGCTGCAGAGGTGACCCAAGGGCGGAGAGTTTAAAGCCCCAGCCCCAGAGTGAGGTCGTCCCCACCAGGGCTTCTGGAGCCTGGTGACCTTGGCCGGCTGTGCGCAGAGTCCCGTGTGTGCCCCGCCTTGGGCATGGGGGGAGGGGGAACGTTTCAGATTAATCAAAGGGTAATGTGAGTTCATTCATATTTTGTTGGAAACTCGTTTTCCAATCTCTTGTACAGCGTTGAAAAAAAAATTCTATTTATTAAGCTTTATGGAAAAAATTGTGTGTGTGTGTGTGATAATTTAACGTTTTTACCCATTAAATTAAGACTTGCGTACGTTCACAGCGCGAGTGGCTTCTGATTTGTGAGTCGGGGGGAGCCCAGGGGTCGCTGCCCGTGGATGCGGGGGTGGGGCAGATGGTCATCCCCAGGGCGCGGGGCCAGTGAGCTGGGTGGGGCAGCGGTTGGCGCTGTCGGAACGGAAAGGAGGCAGGAAACCGCGAGTGGAGAAAGGGCCCCAGATGTCAGCTGGGTGCCCGGAGCCCCGAGGGTGGGGACGGTGGGCGGTGGCTGCGGCCTTCCCGCAGGGGCGTGGCCCACGGGCGGGGACAGAGTCACGTGGCGAGCGGGATGCCGGAAGGGCCAGGGGCGGGCATAAGCGCCGCGGGAGCCTCCGTGCTCTTTTTAAAGCCGGAGGGGGCGGGACTGGAGCAAGCCCCGCCTCCCGGTGGGCGTTTCCCGGCGCGCGCCTGCGCAGTGGGCCTCCGTCGCCATGCCGGAACCGCGCGGGTCGTCTCCTCTGCGCGTGAACAAGGCTTTTGCGGCGCGGTATGGCCGCTACCGGGAGCGCGAGGAGCTGCAGCGGCGTGAGTGCGGGGCGCATGCGCGGGGAGGGTGGTGGGGAAGTTAGAACGGTCTGATCTGCCCTGAGTCTGACCCGGAGGAAATTCCTTCTGTGCCCCTCAGTGAAGGATCGCTATGGGGACCGGGACAGCGGCGGCGACTCCAGCTCCGAGTCTGACTCCAGCGACGAACGCGTGGTACGAATCCCCGCCCCGATCCTGGGCGTGGCCAGGAGTCCAAGCCTCCCTCCCCGCCCCAACCCTGATGTGCAGGGGGCCGGGCCCCAAGCCCTCAGGGCCCCAAACCCCAAGCGCCGCCGGCTTCGCTGCGTTTGACCATCCTCTACCCCGTCTCTCCCAGCTAGTCCTTCCTGGACACATGCTCACCCGCCGCCTGATCCCCACACCGTCTGGGCCACCTGTGCCTGTTGCGCGCTGTCTGTTCCCACCCAGGTAGTTCTCACCTCCCTGCTGAAGTTTGCCGCACCTCTTCTCCTGCCCTAGGAATTTGACCCCCAGCAGGAGCGCGACTTTTACAGGACACTGTCCTTGTTGAAGAAGAAAGACCCCCGCATTTACCAGAAAGATGCCACCTTCTATCAGAGACCAGGTGTGTGTGGGGGGGCGCCGTTCCCATTTCCTTACCAGTTGTTTTATGGCAAAAAGTGCTTAGCAGGCCGGGCGTGGTGGCTCACGCCTGTAATCCCAGCACTCGGGAAGCTGAGGCAGGAGGAACGTTGCGAGTTCGAGACCAGCCTGGGTGACAAAGTGAGCTCAAGACCAGCCTGAACTGCATGGCGAGACCCTGTCTCAAAAAGACAAAAAAAAAAAAAAAAAAAAAAAAAAACTGCTTAGCAGGCTGGGCGAGGTGGTGGCACATGCCTGTAATCCTAGCACTTGGAAAGCTGAGGCAAGAGGATCTTTGTAAGTTGAAGGTAACTCAGGACTATGTACTGAGACCCATTCTTAAAGAAAGAAGTGCTTAACAGGCCTGGCGTGGCGGGGCACCCGTGTGATCTGTGCTCCTCAGGAGGCTGAGGCAGGAGGGTCTCAAGTTCAAGGTCAGCCTGGACAGTTTAGCAAGATTCTACCTCAATAAAATTGGCAGGGCTGAGGATGGATCTCAGGTGCTCTTTGAAGCTTCAGTTTTGGGCTGAAGAGTCCCGGCAGCCATCCAGCCACGCCCCATCTTGCAGCAGGGAGTGGTGGGTGGGGGTGGGATCCTCTGCTTGGCCCTGCCCTGAGTGAGTCTCCACCAGGGGACATGGGGAGCTGCGAGTGATGGCAGCTGTGTCCTTCTGGGTCCACAGAGTCCTCCTCCTCCTCCTCCTCCTCCTCCTCCTCAGAGAGCGAGCAGGAGCGCGCAGCTTCAGGGAGGCAGAAGAAGGTGCGGCCGATGTACTTAAAAGACTACGAGCGGACTGTCATCGTGGAGAAGGGCGGGTGAGGAAGAGCCTTCCCAGTGCCTGGGGGCCTCAGGAGTAGACGTAGAAGAAGCCCATAGAATCGAGGGGACCCCTGAGTGCAGGAACCTCAGTGACCCCATACACATTCCCACGGGTGCCCCCAGAGGCCTGTAACAGCTCCCCACCACATGGGCCAAGAAGCCATAGAAGAGTACAGTCTGTCCCTCCTGATGCCCCCCTGTTGGAAATGTTAAGTTGGAAATGGATTTAATTCCTGACAAACCATTCTAAAGTCGAGCTATTTTAAGTCGAGCTATTGTAAGTCAGGAGCTGGGTTCTAAAGCCCCCATCTTTCTCTACACAGCAAATATGTGGATGAGGAGAACTCAGACGGGGAGAGCTCTGACTGGAGACTGCAGGTGGGTGGGGTGGAGGCTGGCTGGGGGCTCCAGGCTCCTGGGATGGCCTGAGGCTCGCGTCATTCCTTCCTTCGCAGCAAACCACATCGCAGAGTTATGTGGAGGAGCAGAAGCAGCTCCGGGAGAGGTGAGCCTGTGCTGGGGGGCAGCCTGCCTCCAGGCAGGGGCTGAGCTGGAACCGGGATCACAGCAGGCGCTGCTGATCCCTGTGCGCCTCTGTTCCCTTGTCTGTTAAATGGGGTTATTGCTGTCATAGCACAGCAGGGCATGGCGGTGTGCTTCGGGAGGCTGAAACAGGAGGGTCACAAGTTCAGGTTTCACCTGGGCAACCTAGCAAGACTCTGTCTTAAAATAAGAAAGGCAAGGGGTGTAACTTGTTTAGAAGATCCTGGGTTCCACCTTCAGTACCAAAAAAAAAGAAAAATAAAGGCAAATAATGCCGCAGCGCTGCTCCACGCTCTTGTAAGGAAGCTTTGGAAACAGAGCTCATCTTGGCCGCCAGCAGTGCCGGCCCACGGGTCCTGAGGGGGTTTTTGTCACGGCAGCTTCCGGCCATTTGTGGAGGACAGCGAGGACGAGGACAGTGCCGGGGAAGGTGGCTCCAGCTTGCTGCAGAAGCGCAGGAAGACCCGGGAGGAGAAGGTGGGCGCTGGGCTGGGCCAGACCCCGGGCGGAGGGCGGGAGCCGGGCTCCCCCAGACCTGAGTCCTGGGCTTCCCCAGGCCCAGGAGGATGCCGACTATGTGGAGTGGCTGAAGGGACAGAAGGAGGTTCAGAATCCCGAGTCCTTGAAGGAGTTGGTGAGTCCTCCCAAGAAGCCTTTGGGTTCCTGTCTAGGCGCTTGTTCTGTTTCCGTCCGACCTTTCCCCACAAAGTGACCTGTCTGTAATCCCAGCAGTTGGGAGGCTGAGGCAGGAGGATCTTGAGCTCAAGGCTGGCTGGCTGTGGTGGTCACACCTGCCCTCCTTCTGTATCCCTCTGTCCGTGACCTGGGTCCTGTCACCCCCTCACCTCCTTAGATGCACCTTAAGCAATTTTGGGACAACCCGGAGCTGGATGAAGGGGAGCAGTTCCTGCGGGATTATATCCTCAACAAGCGTTACGAAGAGGAGGGCGATGAGGACGAGGAGGAGGAGGAGGAGGAGGAGGGGTGAGTG